CGAAGGGAAACGAGGGTGCGAGATCGCCGGCACAGGGTAAGGTGGAGATCGATCAAGCGTCGATTGGATGGAAACAATCGGTTTGTGACGATAAAAGAGTCGAGTGGATACAAGACCGACCGAATCAAGAGATTGACGTCACAAGGGAGATTACGACTGAAGACAATGAGTCTGAGGTAGCTGATATGTTACAAGAACGGTCCAGCTGTCAGGCAGACGGGATCGGGTTAAAGGATGGTGAGTCGCAAAAAGGACATTTCCAACTGGTTAAAGGACTCAAAATGATTGCGACCGCGAGATTGTCGAAGGGAAACGAGGGTGCGAGGTTGCCGGCGCAGGTCAAGGTGGAGATCAATCAAGCGTCGATCGGATTGAACAGATGGGTATGTGAAAATAGCGCGACCAAAGACGGAGACCCTGACGATAGTGAAACGGTGCATGGAGATTCCAGACGTCAGTCAGGCGGGATGTCGACTCGTGATGGTGTGTTACAAGGACGAGACAATCGACAGCTTGGAGACGCAGCTATACCAGGGACTTACAATGACTTACCTGGAGTGATTGGTGATATGCTGTCTCCTGCTGTGATAAATGCCACCAAGACTATGAGCTGTGACGCTGTGGAACCCTACCGATTTGATAACTTGAAGATCGAGGAGGGGGCAAAGGCGATCACGTGGGGAAATTCTGGTGAGTATGATCCCGACAGAAAAGAATTCAGTCACCATCATAAAAAAGAGACCGATATGGGATACAGTGAAGAGCAAGGACAGTCCACCGTGATGACCGCAGAGACCGATACGGTGGGGATCGACCGCTATAATGCGGATTGTAATCCACTGCAGATAAGTCGTGAAGAGGAGTTTCGGCTTTATCTCTATCGGTTCAAGGAGGAATATGCACCAAGTTTAGCCCATATGTGGCAAGGACCGTGCTATGAGGCCGTCAAATGTGGAGATCATATCGTACGACTGGATATTGATGGTAAACCATACAGGTTGTTCTCGATGGTTCATGTTTCGAAGTTGAAGCAGGTCAAGATGTTTCAGTATCGACCAATAATCTGTTTGACGGTATACGAGATTGATCGAGTGGGCTTTGATGAGGTATTGTGGCCGGACGATAGCTGGGACGGATGTCGAGAGGATGATACGTTCGAAGTGAAAAGAATAGAAGACGCGCGATCTGGACGAAAACCACGGGTTGGACGAGTACACTGGCTGGTCGGGAAGTGTTGGAAAGGCTCCAGCGATCCGACATGGATAGACGAAGCAGATGTAAATTGCGTGGACATGTCGCAGAAATGTGACCGTGGTCGAGCAAGCCATAATCGATTTAAGGTGAGGCAATTAGAAGAAGATGCATCAAGGGTCAAGCACCGATCTGGAGGTTAGTTGTGGTTGAAGTATGCAAGGAGGTTGCATATGGCTGTAAGGCGGTGAAAGCACATGCCGGGAGGCTATATGTGGCGGGGGATATCGGTTGACGGGTGTGCTAGGAGATAGCACATGCTGGTGGAATGGGTTTGAAGGGTGTACTTGGAGGTAGTACATGCCAGAGGAATGGTCTGCTCGTATATAAGTATGGAACTGAATTACCAACTAATTGATGGAGAGCGAGATTAATTGGGCATGGTGATACAACGATAAAAGATGTGACGAACAATGATAATGAAATCTTATGTATTCTCATTTTCGATTTCTACAAAGACCGGCGATTTCGGTAAATCAGAATGATCTAACGATCTTGTTCAAACGAATAGCGATCTAAGCCGAGACTGATGATCTGGCGATCCAGGTCGATTGACTGGATATATTAGTGGAGCCCAAGTAACTATCGATCTGGTGAAGAATGGGATGGGCTCAACTCAGGCTGTCTATCCGGTCGTCTGTATGGAAAAGTAGAGATATGGATCGATCTGGGACTATTTGATTATACCTCCCGTGATATGGCGCTCTGGACGACAAATCGTGGGCAGGGTCGAAGGCCCGGTGGGTAGTCGATCTGGTGATCCCCTGGAGAAAGGTATCGATTCGGCCGGACCAAGATCACTTGGAGACCCAGGTCGATCTGGTCCTATTGGAGTATACCTCCCGGGATCTGGCGATCTAGACGACAGGTCTCGGGATGGAGATAAAGGTCCGGTTTGTAGTCGATCTGTCGATCCCGTGACGATCGATGGTGATCTGGCCGGACCAAGATGACCTGGGGACCCCGGACGATCTGGCACTATGGGAATATGCTCCTCTGGATCAGCCGATCTGGGTGACAGAGTGCGATCCGGCGACAAAAGTGCGGTAGAACACTCCGAGGGTACTGGCGAAGTGGATAGACACGTCGGTGAGGTCATGGGATGGACTTGAACGGTTGGAGCAAAGTTGATGAGTGACTGCACTGAGGTCAATTGCTGTACAATGGACTTCAGTACAGGGGGCGGTTGTGGTGAAGTCACTAATCAAATTTTGTACGAGGATCGGTGGCTACACATTTGGGACGCCACTTACTGGTGGAAAAAGAGGCCATGGGACTTGGCGATCCAATAAGGAAACGGGATCGGCGATCCGATCCAACTGTCGTCAGACTGATGGGTATGGAACGATCTGAGACGGGGTGATCTGGGACAAGACGACAGTCAGGACGATTTCCATGGAGCGATCTGGGACAAGGATCTGAGATCAGGCGATGTGATGTGACTCTGTGACGAAGGTGCAACATCCTGCAGACCGGTGACACTCTCTACGGGTCTCCCAAAGGGAGTACTGATTTAGGTTAATTATGGACCGATCTGGAAGTGGGGATGTTTGTGGGGGTCCGTGGGACCGTTGTAAGAATTGTGGATGGTCCCATTGTGCGGATAAACCGTTGAGTATAGTATCGAAGCATGCACAATGAACGGAAAAGGCATATAGGGCCGGATCGCACTGTGTCGATCCTCAACGATCTCGAATTGGACATCAGATCGGTCATGTTCCCTGCTGGTTATGGATATATCGATGATGGAGCTATTGTATGATGATGTACATGCTTGTTGGAGATCCATGAGTGATGTCCCAAAAGTTCAGACCGAAAGAGCCAGTGGAAGCCGGTCGAATTGACGTCGCAAAATGGATTTAGACACGTTCCACATCTTGGATACTATATTGGACTTTTCGGTACCAAAATTGGGTATTTGGTACCATATTTGGAATTGGGTCTCTTTTGGTGTCTAGGTACGATATCGGGAGTATTGGCGCTATCTCTGGAGTACAGGTCACGAAATTTCGACACGTGTTTAAGGTGGCGGTCAAGCTTAAAGGTGATATCGACTTGGACAGTGACCTACGGTTGGGAATAGGCTTAATGATAGGTTGGATATTAATTTGGTTGGTTAATAAACAGACTTGAACTCTACTTCTTCTGCTCACGACGCACGTTCTCCTCCCCTCTTCTCCGGGCAAGATTGATTTGGCTTCCCCGGCGGGTCAAGGCACGCGTGTTGCAGGGACACAGAAGACCGATCTTGGATTGTTGGCCAAGATCGAGAAGAGCGATCTAGGGATATCTGGCCCGGATCGATCAAGTACTCACACTCAACTCAACTGCTAGGGTAGCAGCCACACAACAAAGGAAAAGGAAAAGGATTTTGTACACAAGATCGCGAGACGGCTCAAGTGGTCAGGAGATCTGGACAAGGCGTTCAAGACAAGACCGAGCGAGATCGAAGCGATCTACTGGACATATCGGCGTGTTTCATTTTGGCGAAACCAAGAACCGATCTGTCCATATTGCGCACTTCCGGCAAGATCGGCCGATCCCGAGACCAGATCGGACCGATCCCAACGCAAGATCGACGCAAGACTACTATTTGCTGAGTGAAGATTTCCGCACAGCGAAGACCCCGATCCCAAAGACTAATCGAGATCGGTGTGATTCAAGATCGAGATCGCGACATCTCCAAATAGAGATCGCCGCGACTCAAGATCAGGATCGCAAAACCCCGTTCGTGGTGTGAAGATTTCCGCACCGGAAGCGAGCGCTCAACCCCAAACCCTCAGCGAGATCGACATCTCCCAAGGCCATTACGAAGAGCTCAAGCCAGCCCAACCGACCGGTACACAAGGTGAGAACAAGGTTATACAGCAAGGCACGGATCGGAGTACCCCCTCCGTGAGTCGGCAAGTCTGGGCAAGTGGAAGATCGACACTCACTAAACTAATTTTGTGAGATCGACTTCACCACACTAACTTCAAGAAGACATTTTACTTTTTCTCAGGGTCTCTATTTCCGGCAATAAACCATTCCGTGACCTTAGTATATTTTTGTTTGAGCCTCCTAAACCCTTAGAATAATTGTTTTAGCTTGAGATATGTATGCCAGCTTCTCGTGGACAACATTATACTCGCGTCTATCATCGGCTATGGTATACGCCACTGATCTACCAATTAATATCCGCCAATAAGCAGTCTAATAGCATCTGCGAGAAATAACCCTAGAGACAATTTGCACTTCATATTACCCGCGGAGACTTTTAAATGGTACTACTCCGAAAAATATTTTAGATACATAAATGTAACATATAATTCGAAGTTTCCCTGTCTTAATAGATAAGCGGCATACAAAAACAGAGTCATTGCACAAATGAAACGAATTAGGCGAAGGCGTGTGATATCCCCAAAACAGATAACTTAAAGGACCCCTTTCATTTCGAAAAACTTTTGTGCCAAGATTTAGTGATTTGTAGAATATGTTGGTCTCGCTTATAGCACCCTTGTAAGACGGAGTGAGCGACAAAATCTATTATCCTCTTTTTGGTCAACAAGTTACCTCTTGATATATGCCGGTGGTGCAGGTTTCTAGATCTGAGGCTCCCAGACTTGTGACCCTGTTAAGTAACAGCAAAGTAAGTGAGCCGCTCGCTTCAACAGCTCTCAAGTGTAGCCACTTTGCGCACAACGTGGGACTTTCTCTCGCGCCAATCACTCGCGGCACGTTGTGTGGTATGCCACACTGGACAAGACGCGATGGTCGCAACGACGGCGGACCTGGTGGTCAACGGGGGCGCAGCGCAGGCGCTGGACCTGTGCAGGCGTCTGCTGCGTACGGGCAGCAGCGTGCAGTGCGTAGAAATGGCGCAGCTCGTACTGGAGCGACTGCGCAGCGGGGCCACCGGCGACTCGAGCGACGATGTGAACGCACTGCTGCGACTGCTGAGCAATTACGTGACGCCCACGCGCGAGCTGACGGAGGAGATCCTGTCGTTGCTGCTCTTTTGCGACCATCGCGTGTTGCTGGTCCATCATTTGCCTAAGGTGGGTGCAGTGTCTAACAAGGAGCTGTGCATTTGATCGCCCATTGCTAATTGTGGTGCATGTGTGGACACTCTTGTGTCATTCTTGCACCACAGTTGACCTACCAGTCGAAAGAGTGTGTGAAACTAGTGGTCCAAGCTTATTTGGAGCTGCTGGCGACGGACCGGTCCTTGTTGGTGCCGGTGCTTGGATCTCTGGCAGAGATGCCATTGGACAGTGGCGAGAAGAATACGGTAGTCGAGGCGACGCAGTCGCTGCTAGAAGCGGCAGAAGAGAGCGATATCCCTGCAGTGGTGCAGAGTTTGCTGTCCATGGTGACGAAATCGTCGGCCTCAAAGGCGCTTGGTCGACTTCGGGCCGAGTGCAACCGCATCCAGTCAGGCACATTGTCCCTTACGATGGAAGTTATTGGACGGTTCGCAAGTGCTGGGTCGGTGGCGCTAACGGCATTGTTCCGCCTGATCCGACATGTCGAGCCGCTGACAACGTTTGACATTCTCGCGCTGACTCTTGTGATGGGCAAGTCGGCCGAAAACGAGGTAAGCTACTAATGAGCTATCGCAGAGATCTACCGCCTTACTTGCTGTTTGGACTTACCGTTTGTTTTGCTCCTGCATTCTGATGGTGCTGCAGTCAGCTGTACGAACGACAACGTCTGTTGCTCAAAGAGGCCATTTGCACGGCCGATTGATGCGCGAAGTCGCTCTGATGCTTGTGAGGCCAGAATGGGCCTATCTGCTCCCTTCCTTCGTCCAGTTTTGCAGCTGTCTTCTCGCAACTTGTTTCCGCGCTTCTACTCGCGCCACACTTGCTTCAAATCTGATAAGCAGCTCTGTCGACTCTTTGATCGTTCTCATCGAGACCGCCAGTGTTGTGCATGAAGAGGTAAGATCGATGTTGCCTTTGCGTTGACCCCTGTCTAACTTTGTCCACGGTACACATCTTCCGACATGCAACAGGCGTTGATTCTTTTGCTGAAAATCGTAAGCCAGCCAAAGAAGTTGTTGCTACTCGCGAACACTGATTCAGTGCTGCGTGCTCGAAGCGACGTCTGCTGGAATGTGGCAGAAGCAATCGCGCTGCGATTCTCAGAACTTGCGCGGAGGAATGCTGGTGCACTAGCATCGTCGTCTCACTTATTCCTTGACCACCTCCATGGAATCGCTTCTGCTACGACGATTGCCGAAAGGTACCCACCGCACATCCTCGACCTGCTTTGTTCGACCATGGCGTTATTGACGAAGAAGGAGCGGGGCATTTATTCGCTGCTGATGATCACTATACAAAAACAACTCGTGACGCGTGTAGGAGCTTTCGGCTTGCCTCACGACCAGCAGTCGTTGAGACTTCAGAGCAGTCGATCTCTGCAAAGTCGTGCCAGTGCTGTGGAGGTAAAGCAGCTGATGGCTGTCTTACTTGCTGGACATCTCCTCAAGAACCAAGTTGTTGTAGAGTCTCGCGACCGTAAAACGCTAGCAAACTGGATGTTGCGTCTCTTGGCTTCCGCGAATCGTGACGAGACGCTGCTACATGTGATGGAATTCGTGCGAGAGGAAATGCATCGATCACGTGCAGTCTCATCAGCCTTGGCACAGGAGCGGACACTCCTGACTTCAGCTATCTTTCAAGTGTTTGGAAAGAAAGGGTTCTGCTGGATACCGCGCGACCAGGTGCTTCAGCGAATGGAGGGGGACGACAGCGTTGTGATTGCATTCGATGACGTTACGAGTAATGTCGCAATGGGTTGCAAACGATCGGCGTCTCCTTTAGTTGCGGATGCTACAGAGTTTGTGCTCAAGCTCCGCTTTGGTGTGCTATCGTTTTCATTCGGTAACATGAACCACCGTGAGCGGGCGGTACACCATACACTTTTAGCACGAGAGTACCTGACGAAACTTTGCCTTTTCCGGGAACTGTTTCACTGCTACATGGGCTTCGCAACCCCAATCGAGCAAATGGAAATCATGGATGCTGCGTGCTTGCTTCCTTCCGCTTACGACCAGGCTATAAGTGCTGAAGCATGTGGGTCGATTGAGCCGATCGTTTTGAACACTGTAATCTGGAATCTAGTGTGTGCACTGGATGTTGCAGTCGCCTCAACTAATTTTGCTGCCAAGCTATACGCGTCAACAGCGAACAGCTCGTCATTGCAACACGGTCGCAAGGATCAATATGCACGGATGGCAGCTAGGTTGCACATCTGCTTGAGGCAGCAAGACCACCTTGCACAGATACTATCTCGTCAAAAGGTAAACATCTCGGCTTGCTTGGAGAGCATCATCGACGACACAGTGAGTTCTCAGCGTGCCAAGACACAAAAGGATGAGCTGGAGTGGCTGCTGCTAGAAACTTCAGTTGCTGAACAGTTCCTCAACGGTGAGCTTCGTCGCATACGAAAGGAGCCTCCCCGCGGCTCGCTGTCTGGCCTCGACTTTCGTGTGATCTGTTTGGTCTTCGAAGCCCAGCTCAACCGTCCGCTGGATACGACGACACTGTCGCTGTTTGACGAACTGGAGCTGTTGCAAGTGTTTAGTCAGCACTTGCAGAACAATGCTATGCCTTCTTCAGGCTTCGACGGCGCGTCGGGTAGTGGTGGGAACCTGAAGTTGCTTGCGTCAACGAGAGAAGGCTGCTGCACAGTGAAGTGGCTGTGCCATCGCGCAGCAGAGCTGAGCCAGCGGATCAGCAACGCTGACTATGATGACATGAAATGGTCTGCAGACGAAAATTGTGAGGCTGTGTCAGCAGAAGATGTGGCTGCAAGTGCACGAACGAGAAAGTCAATGGCTTACAGTCTCGCGTACATCTACGATTCGTTTATCCTGATCTTGGAAGAGTGCCGCGTCGCAAAGGCGGCGAGAGACTCGACGTGGGCCGAAACGATGATGAAGCTGCTTGCTGCTGGCGCAAGCCCTGGCGACGATTTGTCTCGTGTCGACAGTCCGTTCGGGTACAACGAAGTAGTCTTCCGCTTCCTGGCGCGACAGTGCCTCGAGTTGACGGTAAGTGCACTTGCGCTGAACGGTTTGTTTCCCGTGACTAATATGCGGCTCAATGGGATGCATGCAGGACCCTACGTTAGCTTCGTTGGTCACCGATGCCCTCATCTCGCTCGTGCTGGACACGAAGAAGCGCCCTCTCGTGAGCCAACTGTGCCTCGCGCTGCTGCACCAAACATATCCCGCAGCGCCTGCTGTGTACCAGTTGGACGCACATGCTGGAAAGTTTCTCAGAGATTTGCCACTGAGGTCGTTGCCCAAAGCTGTGGTCTCTCCGGTCAGTGGCCACGTGTGTTCGCTAGCAAAGTACCGGTGCGCGTCGATGAAGTGGCGTCACGTGGCGTATCTGGTAGTTGGCTCCTGGGCATTCACGGCTGATGCCGCCGCAGGATCACTTCTGTTGGCTCAATTTCTCGAGGAAATGCGCGTGCTGATTGACGCCGCTGCATCCGACAATGGCGAACAGAATGGCACGAAGCGGACTGCAAATACGGATGACAGCGACGCCGAGTCGGACGAGAATGATGTTGGCCCAGTACGCGATAGAGACGAGTTTGCTGTGGTGGCAAATGGGGAGCACATTGTGCTGAAGAGCCTGACAAACGAGTCGTTGCCATTTTTCATTGAGGCAGTTTTGCTCTGTGCGATCGCTTCATTGCATCGTGCGATACCGAAGAAGTCGAGTGCACAAGCTCTCGCAGATGCCAATCCCTTCACGGACTACTGCAGTGCAATGAATGTGTTTGGAAGTGCTTTGGGGGTGTTCGCTCAAGCTGAAGCGTGCGGTTTCAACTTGCCATTGAAGACGAACCTGCTCGTGCTGCGGGGAGGGGCCTTCGCCACGCGGAGTGTCCGATCGATTTTGACGAAGTGCATCGCCTGGCGCATTGATCAAAGTGTGAGCGACTGCACGGGCGCGTTGGAGCATTTGGGCGTTCTATTCGGCGCTGCTCGTGCCATGTCGGTAGCGATGGAGAGGGTGACACACACGTTCCAGGAGCGTGTCGTTCTCAAGATGCAACGAAATGGGAGAAGAGGCGGGTGGTCCAACGAGCTACTGGCAAAGGCTTATGGCAAGAGATACAACACGCGCCGATTGATTTCCAAACCCGAGGCGAAGTTGGTTCCGTTCTTCGCTCACGGCATCCAGGAGCTTCAAGACTTTCTGCAGGATCAAAGGTACGCAGCGTGAAGAAAAGGATCGAGTGACGACCGTCTCTACTTTTTGTTGCACGTGCTGATCGAAAACTTGTTGTGTCGGTGCAGCAACGTGAACAACATCGACTTGGAAGCGGCAAGAGCTCAGTGGGAGTCAGCGAAAAACGTCTCTGGCGACAGCGAGCATCGTGACGCAATGCTGAGTGACGAGAAGCTCGTTTGCGCGTGTCGGACTCTCCAGGCTGAGGAGTTTACAGCTGCGCTGCTGAAAGATTGGCGCCCTGCCGTTTCAGCTGAATCGGACGACGATGAGGTTGACGAGGACGAGGACGAGGAGTTGGCTGGCAGTCAAGAAGTGGATGACGAATCGCTGTCTGAGGACGCAGACGATGGCTTTGTTGTGAGGTCCGATGTGACAACGGCAACAAACCGAACAGCACTGTTAAGCGAGCACAAGAAGCTGGCGGTCGGGCTCCAAGAGAACGGCGACCTCGGCTTTCCAACCATTGTTGTCAACTTCAAAAAACAAAAGAAGACGCACAAGTGAGATCCACTTGGCCCGTCATGACATTGTAGACTACTGTTTCGTTCCTGTACTTGTCGCATTAGAACTACCCAAGCTTTGATAATTTTTGCTGTTGACGCGAGCGGAAGATGTCGTGTGCTGGTCGCTTACTAACCACTCCTGAGCCACCGTCATCGTCGCCGAGCCCGCTATTCTTTTCGGCTTCGGCAGCTTGCTGCTGAAGCTGCTGTTGGTGCTGCGCCGCTATTTGTTGCTGCATTTGCTGTTGCTGCTGCTGCGCCATTTGCTCGATGCGCGAGCGCGGAGGGAAATCAACAAGTAGCATTGCTCGAAAGATATGCTCCACGTCAGCAATCGGCCCATTCCAAGGCAGGTTTAGCGGTAGCATGCCAGCAAACTCTTTCAAGAAATCGGGCAGCGGAGGGCCCGGTATTTGCCTGCACAGGAATAAACATGCCGTTATTGTCAATGACACAGCACCAATCGTACGCAGACAAGTTACTCCACAATCTTGCGCACCTGTCCATGTCAAAAATGAAGCCACCACCCGCACCAGCACTTCCCATTCCGTCTTCATCGTCACCACCCTCATCACGACAGGACCCAGACGGACCGCCACGTGAAGAGGCGCGATACATGTCGAGGAAACTTTGGTCGCAACTCGTCGGTGGCCGCATGTTCAAGAAGGAGTACCGGTGAGCGATACTCAGTAAGCCTTTCATTTCCACGAAAGGTTCATTCGGAAACGCCAGTGCACGACGAGCCTCTACTTTTGCCACAGTAGTAAGATCGCCGCCACTCGCCACCATCGTGTGCTCAAACTCCACATATCGGTCCCATATCGGGCGTGATTTCTCCGGAGGCATGACTGACAGCACTTTCTCGAATAAAGACCGCATATCTGTAATCGTGCGAGAAATCACTCACTCGCCAAGCAGTATTTGATATTGCAAGTTGTACGGAGCACTTACTGTTGTCGTCATTCAAATGGCCAAGAAATTCCAGATAGCGGAGTACGTAGGCAGGCTCTTGTATACATTTCTTCAAGCCAAGCTCAAAAATCTTGAGCGCAATGTCTTTTCCGCTTTCAGAATTATCGCTGTAAAACTCCAGCAAGGCTACACCATACCATCACAAATACAATACATTAGACGCTGGAACACGGAACTTAACGTAACGGCGAAGTTGGCGTTGCTCACCCGACGCCGCAAAAACGTGATATGTGCAAGCACCTTCCCGCTCGTCTTTGCGTGCCCTCTTGAAGATTGCGCGGGCCTCGCTTAGCCCCTTCGCGCCGTACGCACGTCGAGCAAAGCGCTGATACGTGACATATGCCAGCGCGGAGACGTGGTCCTTGATCAGCTTTTCATATATGGCTTTGGCAGCGGCAATGTCTCCACGTATTTCATAGTGGTCAGCAAACGCAAAGTGCAGATAGCTCGAGTCTGGAATAGCCGCAATCGCGCGCTCAAACACGCTGGTAGCTGCGTCCGGATCGTTCACTTGGTTCTCGTACGAAGCGTACTGATACCAAGCCTCTGGGTAATGCCGTTTCACGCTTACGAAGAGCTCCAACGTGTAGCGCATGCGTGACTTAAGACGCAACGCGTCCAGTCTTTCCGGATTGCTCATTTCCAGCGCAAGAATGCTTTGCCAGTTCGCCATATCAACCGCATCAGCTCGAGAGCTCGTTGCGGGCACCGCTAACGCATTGGTATTGACCTGATCGTACAGCTTTGTACGGTCTCTCAGCACTGCTCTCGATGCATCGAACTTGGGTCGAAACACCTTGAAGAAGTTTTGTGCCAGAGCTTCGTTGTTCGGGATCGAGCGTTCAAACTTTTCGTAATCTCTCCAGATCGTCTCCATCCCAGTAAGCGGAACCATGACCATACGATGGTACAGCTTTCTCACGTTCAAAAAAGCTTGTGGATCCTGTTCTTCCTGGACAAAAGCTAAGTACATCTGCCAAATGGGTGCAGCGTCAATGGAGCCTCCTACTCGTTCGATTGCCAGCTCAAAAGCATCCCCCATCAACTCCCTGGCTGTTGCAATAGCCGACGGGTCCTTTGAATCCACAGCTACATCCAGCTTGGCGACCTTAGTGAAGTCCAAATAGAACCGCCAGAGGTCCACGTGGGGACAGCGCAGCTGCATGAGTGATTTCTTGATGATCTCCTGCACGCGGCTATACTGCTTTTCCCGTAGCTCGTGTGCTGCGTAGAGCTTCCACCACCGTCCCGCCGTAGCAAACTGCGCCAGGAACGCCTCGTAGTGCTCACGTGCTTCTGCAATCGGCAGCAGCTGCACCTCCTCCATGAGGGCGACCCACGCGTCCGTGTCCCACTTGTTCTGGGCCACGGCAGCCGAACAGCGCTTGAACTTGGGCGAGTGCTGACGCTGCAGTTGGCTCAAGTCCGCGTCTTCCTCTTCCTCGTCGGCGTCTTCGTCCATCCACGTTTTCTACAGAGACGTCAACATGCGACAGCGCAGGAGAGAGCGCGAGAGCAGTGAGAACACGAGAAGGAAACAAGAGAGCAGACGGGACGAATTCCGATCGTCCTCTTCCAGACGTACTCGGTCGCTTGACGACGTCGCTGGAAGCGCCGCGGCGATGGGCTCGTCTTCCTCGGAGCTGTCGGACGCCATCGACTTCTGGGCCGCCACGTCCCTTTCTATTGGAGATTGTCGAGCGATGCGATTGGTGGAAAAGCGAAGCAAGGACTCTCGCTCGAGCCAAGTCCAACTATCACAAGTGGCTAATGGGACATTTGCACGCGAGAAAGCATCTTTGTTTACGATTGTTTTAAACAATTCAGCTGGGATGGTATTTAGCGAGTGATATGACAAATGAGAGGCGATCGACCGCGAAAGCTTTCGTGCGAGCAGACACGAAGACCGACCGAGTCGTAAAGAAGTGCAACAACAAGTCAAGTGCAACAACAAGTCAATTGATTTAAACTTTGTGCAGTGACGGGAATTGACACAGGTGTGTCAGCAAAGCCTGTGAGACGTTCATTCTGAGACGTGACTGTAAGCAAAGTCTTTGCTCGTCACATCACTTGTGACACGTTTGTGTCTCTCTGGATGTACATTGAGCTGTTTGTTTACCAGTGCTCGTCAACACATCTGCACGTGCGGCACCATCAGTTTGCATCACAAGCAGCACTTGAGCCACCGGCAACGCAGAAAGAGCGCATCCTCTTCTATCGCCCACGCAACGAGCGGTACGTCAGGAGCTACACGTCTTGCAACGAGGCTGGTCCTGCTGCATACTCGATCGCAGCATCTGGACGAGAGCCATCGCGTGTTGTCCAACTTCCGACTCAGGTAGCGAGCGAGCGACATCGAGCAGGTCACGCAACACAGAGGCCGAAAGGCTGTGCGACAAGGAGGCCGAACGCTATGAAAAGTGTGTTGCTGAGTCAACTGAAGCCCAACAATTGGGACATTCACACGTACTTGTGTGCGCCGCCCCTCCCCCCCCGACTAGGTTGCGTTCACTTGGCACGAGTTGCTCGACGTACGATCTGTCCCTGTGAGCCGACGACAGGTTCCCATCAGGAACTCGAATGCTGCCACAGGCGAAGGTGAGGCCAGCCATCAAACGATGCAGAGTCGACTGGTATGGTCTGACTGGAGTCAGCAAGGTCTGCGGAGGGGAAACAACATGGAAGATGCTACAGCGACGCCTTGATCCGAGTAGCACTCGAAGCAAAGGGTCAAAGGGTCCGTCGATCGAGGCCGGGGCGAGTGCGAGGGGCTGCTGATGCAGAGAGGAAACGAAGTTCGATATGTACAGGAGCTCACCTAGAGCCAGCAGATGCTGTGTGAGACGGTATGGCTGTCGGGACAGACGGATCGACGTCCGAGGAAAACCCGCCGCTCGAGTCGAACGACCGCCCCGCCTTCAGTGACGACGCGTGTCTCGTCAGGTCTCACTTGCAGGCTCAGCCGTGTGAGTGACGCACGATACCACGGGACGGAGGTGACGCCATCGACCCCGCACGACGGTCAGGAACACTTCCCGTACGCACGACGCTCAGGAGCGAAATAGGAATGCTATGATGAAGCAGTCGATCCTCTGACAGCGACATGTCGTGGCACTGACAGCGGACGTTCCTCCTCTCGACAAGACTTGAGCAGCGGGAGCGCTGTCCTCAGCGACCAATAACGGACGGATTGATGCGTGCGTACAATGACACGAAGCGACTGAAGCGACGCGACGACTTTGATCGGAGACCTGCGCCGACGCGATCAACGGCGACGAAGCGAAATTTTCGCACACGGCAAAGCTGCGGTAGAGAATGCACACGAGGCAACGCGAGACGACAGCAGTGCCGAGTTGCTCTTCGTAGAAACGTAGGAAGGCATTTGCAATGGTGTATAGGCAACAAAACGGCTCGTGGAGATCGTCGAGCAGCTCTCGATTGCACACGTAGTGTGTAAAGAACCCCTCACGCCGGTACGCTATGCTCTTTTGCAGGGTCTACACTGGCCCACGAACCAAACGGTCTCACGCTGTTGCCTGTCCATGTGAATCGCCACTTTCGCGTGTGTCGAGTGGCCACAAACGCGCTCGCATGGCCGTACCACTTTTTTGCTCGGGAGCGATTGTGGCACCAAAATTAGGTGATAGTCACCCTAAGCACGTGCAAAGCCGTCGCCATGATCCTTTCGTCGTCCAGATGGCGTGACGTAGGACGCTTCTACCGGACATAGAACCCCTTGAGTCCAACAACGTGTCGCGCGGTCGCAACGTTGCGAGCTTCGAGCACATGTTTCATTTGTATGGCGCAGAGTGTCGTTCTTGGGATGGGGCAGAGTCCGGATGGAAGGCTGCAAGGTGCGACCGTCCGTGGGGCTCTGCGCCTGGTTCTCTCCTGCTCCTCTCCTGCTCCTCATTCGTTAGTTCGCCTCCTTCCGCAGACGTCCACAAGCAAGTTACCGAACGAAGACGAAGATGAAGTACGCTGTTGGGTTAGTCCTGGCTGCCCTCGCCGTGACTGCCGCTCACGCTGGCCATTTGCAAAATCTTCGCGCCAACAAGGAGGATGAACTTGCGAGTAAGGGTCTGTTGGAGGACGAAACGGACGCCGGCCTGAATGACGAACCCGCGAAGAAGAAGGATGTCGTCATGGTGACGGTCAAGGGCCCGGCTGGCAGTGACGACATAAAAATCAACATCATGGACCTGATCGGCAGTGGAAGTGGCCAAGTCGACTTCGCCGACATTTTAGATGCCGAAGTAAATTCGCCATTGTATGATCGGCTTCAGAACGCTGGAGATAACGACCCTATCGCCGGGAAGGGTGCGAACGATGGAAGTGCAGAAGATCTTTCGTGGCTGTCGAGTGAAGAATCTGGAAACGAGGACCCTGCCGGTACGAAGGGCAGTATGTCAGACGCCGAGATTGAGAAATTTTTGCAGCAGTTGGTTACTGATAAATCGGGAGAGGGGGACCATCTTGGTGCGAAGGGTGGTGCCAAGGGAGCTCTATCATTGGAGGACGAGGAAGAAGAAGAGGAAGTTGACCCAATCGGTGCAAAGGGTGGTGCAGGTGATCCGCTTGGTGCGAAGGGTGGTGCCAAGGGAGCCCTATCATTGGAGGACGAGGAAGAAGAAGAGGAAGTTGACCCAATCGGTGCAAAGGGTGGTGCAGGTGATCCGCTTGGTGCGAAGGGTGGTGCCAAGGGAGCTCTATCATTGGAGGACGAGGAAGAAGAAGAGGAAGTTGACCCAATCGGTGCAAAGGGTGGTGCAGGTGACCCTCTTGGTGCGAAGGGTGGTGCCAAGGGAGCTCTATCATTGGAGGACGAGGAAGAAGAAGAGGAAGTTGACCTTCATGGTGCAAAGGGTGGTGCAGGTGACCCTCTTGGTGCGAAGGGCGGTGCCAAGGGAGCTCTATCATTGGAGGACGAGGAAGAAGAAGAGGAAGTTGACCCAATCGGTGCAAAGGGTGGTGCAGGTGACCCTCTTGGTGCGAAGGGTGGTGCCAAAGGAGCTCTATCATTGGAGGACGAGGAAGAAGAAGAGGAAGTTGACCCTCTTGGTGCAAAGGGTGGTGCCAAGGGAGCCCTATCATTGGAGGACGAGGAAGAAGAAGAGGAAGTTGACCCAATCGGTGCAAAGGGCGGGGACAAGTCTACGAAGGCATCCAAGTCAACGAAGGCGGGTGCTGAAGGCGGCTCGCTTGCTGGGCTATTTGACGAAGGCACGGACGGCCTTGTTGGCGATGAAGGAGAGTCAGTCCCTTTGGTGGCGGGCGGCAAGAAGGGCACGAGCCCGGCCGTTGAGAACGAGCCTGTTTTTAGCGAGGCTGACTTGGACGACAGCCCCATGCAGTCGGAACTAACTGGCACCAAGGACTCTAAGGCCACGAAGTAGTCGTTCTCTGAAGACGGGTTCCTTTTGGCAAGTACATTTAATTCATAATGACCATTTTTGACAAGATGTTGTCATTTGTGTATTCGCTTGCGCAGGAGTAGTAGACTCGCTAATGCTGATACACAGGCTTGCATATGGCCTCGCTAACACATCGCATTTGTATTTTATTGGGATCGATGTGACTAATGCGATGCGAAGGAGAGCAGCTGACGACGATTACACCGCCACGACGGATGCTCGAGTTTTATCTATTCGCAACTGCTGAATCGAAATAGAGGCTATGGCGGTTAGAATGTAGAAGACGTGCGACAGGTGCGCATAACATGTAGAAATAGTATTGAAAATTTTACGACCATCAGTGCCCCGCGCCACGGGTCACTGCTTCGGCACACGCACATGCCTGTTTACTGGATTGCGCAGATGGATCGCGCAGACCGTCATTAAAAGGGCTGTCCGACGACACGTGCCGCCACGCTCCGGCGTAAGCACACTTTCGATAAACGGTCGCCCAAGCGATCGCAAAAGATGTTAACAAAGAGAACACGTTTGGCACTAGGCTTCAGTAGCACAGCCAGACAAACCAGAGAGCGCCACTGGAGGTATCCATCTCCGTACAACCACCGGACTCTTTTGAGCACCGGCGTTGCCATTCAGGCTTAATGACTTTCTGACATCTTGCAATTTCCAGTGGATAAATCGACAGGTCTGCCTCTCTCTCGCTAACACGTAGAAATGGTCAGCTAAGTAGCATTCTCAGTCAGACGATCATTTGCACGCGAGGTCTCTCACCGCTCCTTCCTGTTGCTGTCGTTGTTTCATTCCAGATTCGACAGCAACAGAAAGGAGCGGTGAGAGACTTCGCGTGCAATTGATCGTGTGACGATGCATCGTCTAATGATTGTGGATACAATTTTAGTGGACATGGATACGGTCACGGTGCGTGGACCATCTTCATGTCCATAAAATCGTATTGTCACCGTGACCGGAATGACGCAATCGTGGAAAAGAATGACAACATCATTGTACTTGCGCGAATTTTGCAGATTTTCTTGGAAAGAAAGACGCTGAGCACGCATAAGGGTCCTCTGCAAGAGCTAGTACAGGGAGCCGAATACCGGGTACAGTACAGTATATCGAGCGGACAGATCGATCGAGCAGGAAGCCATGGTCGACATGCATTTATCAGCCTCGCACAAAACGACGATCTAGACGCAGATTAACTTCAAAAGTAGACGTGTTCATTTAGTAAATTTGCTCATAGATGCTTTACCGCAAGAAGTAGCAGCGTGTGAGGTTATGGGTAGCTCGGTCATATTCACACGCATTATTTTGAGGTTCATTTGTTTCTTGCTGCTAGGAGAAAGGGTCATGGACAAGTACGAACTCGTCTCTGTTCGCACTACGACCTACATTTCATAGCTTGATTGAGGAGTTACATGACAAGGTTTCAAAAGACGCGTACATGTACGTCAGATTGGTGGTGCATGTTTGTACCTCATCAATAGGAATTCTACTAGGAGAAAGACGCGAACGCCATTGTTGAGTTATGGTGAGGAATATAAGCTTTGCGCCTTGACATAAATGTCACCAAGTGATTGCTGTATAGTGTATTAACATTCACGATATGTTGCATGCGATTGTACAAAGTCGCATCGGAATTATATTTCGGTTGTTTTGTGCACTTCTCGCACGACAACAGTGTTTAGCATCGGTTTCCCTTGTATGTTTGTACAATAACTGCCTGTGATTGGACCCAGTGGTTGTAACTTGCGCGACGGACACCCGCATGCTTTCGTTTAATTTTGACAAAAAGTCATGTGTTGAACGATAACGCTGACGGCGTCGCGGTCAAGAGATGTCGCGTATCTGAGAGCATGTTGTGCTGCTCAGGCTAGTCATGTCGTGCGGATACATACATCTGCATCCAGAAGCTGATGTTGTGGTGGAATCCATCCCGGCCTCTTCTGCTTCGCCGTTGCTAAAATAGAGACAGGATCAAGCAATGTTACGTATCTGCCTAGCGAAGCCGAAAGGGGGTACTTCAGCTGACCAGCGCTCATTTAAGCACGTATCAACTGAATGGTTGAATGTCCACGCGATATTTTCTAACGTGAGCGCTACATCACGGAATGAATTGATACTAGCATCGCCATGAAGCGCGGTTTGGACCCTGGGAGCACAGTATGTGGACCGATCAAGATCCAGCCACAATGGCATGCGTGTTTATTTATCAATGCTGGCTTTTGAGAATTTTACCAATAGCTAGGTTGCTGCTGGTCAGTGTGACAGGTTGCAAGATCAGAACACCGAATGTTTCACTGTTTCGAGTCGATTGCAGCACTGCGCTTTTCCGGCCGTGCGCCTTGTCTCGATGAATCCCAACAGTGTCATGAACTGCACCGCTTCGGCGGTTGATACACATACTCGACACGGGTAATGTTACCAGATGAATATGAAGTTTGACTTGGCCTTTGATTGCTGTAATTTGACTTTTGGCCTTTGATTAGTGGAGTTCTGATGTGATATTTGACTTTTGGCCTTTGATTGCTGAAGTTCTCTCCTAATGCGTTGGGTAAGCACCAATCGCTTCACCAAACTGCCGCCTCCGATCGAACCACGGTCTTACAAATGATGTAAGACAGGTTCACTTCATTGGCGTTGACTCGGCGGGAACCCTGGTACCGGCGAATTAGGCCTCTGTAAGAAGCAAGAAACCCCGACAACGAATAGTTACGGGCGTCTGCCGGATAGACTGGGGCTGGCACCCAGACTAGCCGGCAGACGCCCGTATCCACAGTCTCTAAATGTTGTAAATGTTGGCAAGTATGCGTTGCAGTAGGAGGCAGTAGGTGGACGATAAGATTCTGTATTGTTTCTTACTAGTTCTCTCTCCTCTGCCGTGCTCCCCAAAGCTCTCTGCTCCAGTCATCTATCTCGCACGCATTCTGACTCTACCTGAATACAAGCACTATTCTGCTTGTCATTCTGCGTCCACCATTTGCGCACAGCACGTTTATGACATCATGGCCCCAAATAAACCTCAAGTCACCGGCCGACCACTCCGATCGCCCATTCGTGCCCTCGCACCCATTTCCAACATCCAACATTTCCAACAGTAAAGGCCCGAGCCGGAGAGGATAGTAAAGGGTCTTTATAGCAGTATATGTACCCGGCTGGACTTATAAAACAATGCTTTCACAATTGTGGCACTTCGGTCGACCAAAGCAAGCTCAGCGCACGGAGGAATGTCGGATCTAAAATGGCACTTCTATTGTCGTTCGGCTGGACAAATATGTCATCTAGACCAACCCGCTACTGCTTCTACTATCGGAGGATATCAAGATCGATCGATCACGGCAAACGGGCTTCCGTTTTTGCAACACGCGATTGCGCTACCTTTGTGTGAGGTCCATTTGCCATTTGTAGCGGCCGAGCCGTCCCCTTGTCCCTTTCAGCGCACGAAAACGTCTTCATTCGTTATAAAAACATCACACAACGTTGCCATAAATGGTCGCAGTATAACTCCGTGGAGCCAATTGCACCGAGTAGTGCGTGCGGGTCGCACGCTGAAGCTCCTTGTTAAATCTAAGGAAATAAGAATATAACACCTTATAACGAAAAAATATAACCTTGGTAATAAATGGCGCGCCACATAAATGAAGGATACAAAAAAGACACCAAGGATGTACGCTAAAATGCTCGAATTTACACACGCGTAGCGCCACAGCGAAAATGTTTACTTTGTCGTTAACACTTACCGAACGCCGCAGCAGTTGAGATTCCCTGAGCATTTGCAGTGGTCTGGTGGCGTCATATCGATTATGTTATCGTTGATCTCGTCGTTTTTCACCGTAATAATTAATACATAATTAACATGTGAGTAAGATTGCCAACGAGACCTTGCACGACGCGATCATTATTTTTCTGTGTCAACCCACAGAGACCAAATTTGCCGTGAATGTAGCATAATTGGCTTTCATTACAGCGCGGTACATGTTTAAACAAGTCACGAAGCGAACATGCCTTTCGAGGCAATCAGCACTTTGTGAAGCTGCACCGCTTCCGCCTTTTGCTGTTCCGACAACACTTGTCCAGGAGCCCCAATACGGTCCTACCCTGCTACATTTTACCGGTCTCGAATCTCCATTCGTGGTTTGCGCATTCAACATTAGCAATGGTAAGCGTCGACGAGCATCAACAAACAAACAGCATCTTTGGGGCAGGCATGCGCTACTAGAGCGATATGAGTCAAGAAGTCATTGAGTTCATCTAAAAGAGCAACCGTTTGTTTCGTGGTGTAAAGTGGCAAACGGCGTTACAAGTACGTTGCCCACACAACATGGCTGCTTCGTCAATGTGCAGTGCAGCTTTTTGTGAATACCCCGGCAAAGTGCGTTGTACCTTGGTTAACGATCCGACTTGTCCAATGCGTCTCGTAAGCGTGCAACTGCCGTACGAATACTGTAAGCCTAGTGAGACTGGGCGTTGGCCCGAAATTGCTTCCATGACTCTGATCGATCGGGACAATTTGTCACCCCGATGTACAGGGTGTACACGTTTCTCGAAGATCTTACATACCGCGCGGACAAGTCGCGCTTGACCAAGCAAAGCGAGAAAGTATTAGCGCTTACCTGTATTGATGACCATCTTGCAATGGAACAGCATCGAAATTCATTCATCGTTATGTCTCGTCGCTTTTTTTCATCACAAGGACGCAGTTTGCGCCTGCGGGACCACCCTCATGTTTCAGTGCAGTTGGCTGTCCGCGGGGTATATAATGGCGAAAACGCTTGTCATCCGTACTAGCGGTGCGCGTAAGACTACTTGCATGTTCGTGTAGACTCGCTGCGCGAATGAATGCACTTACACGTATCACTTAAAGATATGTTGTATGTAACTTGGCGACCGTGTCTTTTAATCTTGTGCTATGTTGATTGCTGTTTAATTATGCAATGCAACGTATATGTCCATTCCGCGAAAGAATCCATTAGCTGACAATGATGCGAAATAGAGTGACGACGACCCGAACTCCCCCATTTACCACTATCAATCAGTTCTTTCTTCCACGACCTAAGAACGCACTTCGTAGAGACCTCCATGCACACAGTTCAGCATGACCACACCGTTTCACTTGAATGTGCATGCATGTCCACATATTCTAACAAGGTATTTGTTTGTTTATTCGTTTGTCTGTTTGTTGGTTTGTTTGTTTGTATGTGCAGAGTAGAACACAGCAAACGAGACGCGGAGTCACCCCGAAGTTGCGTGCATAATGAAGGACACCAACGGTTCTATCGAAATCCAACCGTCCAAACACTGCTACGGCGCACGTGTCTGCCAAGACGAGGCGCACACAGTGTGTCGTTGCTGCATAATTAGTGAGCCCACATCGTCATAAGTGGGGGCGCGCGCTTGATCCCATCGAAACACACGGAGGGGTTCTCGAGGACCAACGCAAGCGCAACCGCAAGTCGTAAGGTGCCGTGCTTTCTTCATGCGACCAGTAGACAGACTGCGTCGCTGGTCGTAGTAATGGGCGGCATCAAGAACCGACGCAACCCAATGGGCTGCGAACGAGGCGAGTGCTTGACGAGAGCCAGCGTCGATCGCGGCGTTTACGAGCGGACAATCGATCGCGCTGAAGCCGCTTCTGCTGCAGCAACTGCCGAACGATAAGCACACACACTCACACGCAGTCGCTCGTCTTTCCGTGACCAGGTGGGCATTGATTGCTGCGCCCAATGCCACGTGCACTGGTCGTGTAAACACTGTCCGTCCTCACTCGTCTCGTACAACTAACTACGTCACCACTCGCGAGCCGCAGTCCTTTTGCAACTTGTCACACGTCGTGCGCTTTTGGTTCGGACTTTTACCTGCTGTTGCGCGTGCCGATCCCAGTCCCCTTTCCCCGATGACGCGGCGCGCCAAAGAGCGACGCACCATGCGCGTGCACGCCAAGCAGCAGCTCGAAGACGAGCGACAGCGACGCGCCCAGCGCTTGGGCACGCGCTCGTCGTGGCTCGAGCTCTTGTCCGCTCTCGACGGCCCGAGCGTCAACAGCAGTCGCAGTAGCACTCGGCAGGTCCATCCTAGCAACGGCGCAAAGCCGCTCATCGTCGGCGAGCTGCAGTGGAAGAGCTCGCAAGTGCCCATCGCCCCTTCGGGCCGGTTCCAGCTGCCCATCAAGTTGGACGCGTGCAAGGGGCAGTTGCTCTATTCGTTCCGGACGCGGACCTACGACGTCACCTTTGGCGTGCAGATGATCGGCGCCGACGGGACTTTGATCGAGCTGCTCGAGCCGCGACGCTACGAGAGTCAGAAGCAGCACGTGCAAGGGCACTTGCGTCTCGCGGGTCCGGCGATGGTGCTCCTGGTGTGGGACAACTCCTTCTCGTGGGTCAATGCCAAGCAATTGGCGTACCACGTGGAGCTAAAGCAGGAGACGCCACCGACGTCCGAAGCCGAGAAAACGCAACTAGCACTCGATGCACGACTACAGCGGGAGCGGGAGCTCTTGCAGCGCGAGGGCGAGTACGACGGACTCGAGACTCGGATGCAGACAGAAGCGCAGACGATCGAGTTGCTGCGGCATCAGATTGAGGAGCTGCAGACGCAGCTAACACAACGCGAGGAAGCGAAAGACAACATTCTCAAGGAGAAGGAACACGTAGGCGAGCGCATTGACGACCTCTGCTGGGAGCTGCAAGGTACGGGCAGAACCAGCAACTGGTGTTGGGGACGCGAGTGCGTTGACATTGTTATATCGTGAGTTGCAGAGCTGAGCTGGCGATGCATCGACGGCGCCGCACGTTGTCGCATTCTGGAGTTCTTGGACGAAAGAGACTTACTCGCATGGTACGTGGCAGGTGCTGGTACAGCTTAGACGGGTGTTGCGCTTGCTCATGTGGAACATCACCTGGTTTTGGAACGACAGGTCGCTCACGAGTAAGAAGTGGTACGAGCATGCGAGCGCGTTTGTGGCCAACAGACGCGAAAGTGGCGATTCAAATGGACGAACTGCGGCGTGAGACCGTTTGGTTCGTGGGCCAGTGTAGTCACTGCCAATGGACATAGCGAACCGGCGCGTGAGCTGTTCTTTATACAGCGCGTGTGCCATCGAGAGCTGCTCGACGATCTCCACGAGCTGCTTGTTGCCTATAAACCATTGCAAATGCCTTCCTACGTTTCTACGAAGAGCAACTCGGCACTGCTGTCGTCTCGCGTTGCCTCGTGTGCATTCTCTACCGCAGCTTTGCCGTGTGCGAAAATTTCGCTTCGTCGCCGTTGATCGCGTCGGCGCAGGTCTCCGATCAAAGTCGTCGCGTCGCTTCAGTCGCTTCGTGTCATTGTACGCACGCATCAATCCGTCCGTCATTGGTCGCTGAGGACAGCGCTCCCGCTGCTCAAGTCTTGTCGAGAGGAGGAACGTCCGCTGTCAGTGCCACGACATGTCGCTGTCAGAGGATCGACTGCTTCATCATAGCATTCCTATTTCGCTCCTGAGCGTCGTGCGCATGGGAAGTGCTCCTGACCGTCGTGCGGGGTCGATGGCGTCACCTCCGTCCCGTGGTATCGTGCGTCACTCACACGGCTGAGCCTGCAAGTGAGACCTGACGAGACACGCGTCGTCACTGAAGGCGGGACGGTCGTTCGACTCGAGCGGCGGGTTTTTCTCGGACGTCGATCCGTCTGTCCCGGCAGCCATACCGTCTCACACAGCATCTGCTGGCTCTAGGTGAGCTCCTGTACGTATCGAACTTCGTTTCCTCTCTGCATCAGCAGCCCCTCGCCCTCGCCCCGGCCTCGATCGACGGACCCTTTGACCCTTTGCTTCGAGTGCTACTCGGATCAAGGCGTCGCTGTAGCATCTTCCATGTTGTTTCCCCTCCGCAGACCTTGCTGACTCCAGTCAGACCATACCAGTCGACTCTGCATCGTTTGATGGCTGGCCTCACCTTCGCCTGTGGCAGCATTCGAGTTCCTGATGGGAACCTGTCGTCGGCTCACAGGGACAGATCGTACGTCGAGCAACTCGTGCCAAGTGAACGCAACCTGGTCGGGGGGGAGGGGCGGCGCACACAAGTACGTGTGAATGTCCCAATTGTTGGGCTTCAGTTGACTCAGCAACACACTTTTCATAGCGTTCGGCCTCCTTGTCGCACAGCCTTTCGGCCTCTGTGTTGCGTGACCTGCTCGATGTCGCTCGCTCGCTACCTGAGTCGGAAGTTGGACAACACGCGATGGCTCTCGTCCAGATGCTGCGATCGAGTATGCAGCAGGACCAGCCTCGTTGCAAGACGTGTAGCTCCTGACGTACCGCTCGTTGCGTGGGCGATAGAAGAGGATGCGCTCTTTCTGCGTTGCCGGTGGCTCAAGTGCTGCTTGTGATGCAAACTGATGGTGCCTCACGTGTAGATGTGTTGACGAGCACTGGTAAACAAACAGCTCAATGTACATCCAGAGAGACACAAACGTGTCACAAGTGATGTGACCAGCCAAGACTTTGCTTACAGTCACGTCTCAGAATGAACGTCTTACAGGGAAATTGTAAAAAAACATGGGTGTACGCCAAAAAAAACTGTGTTACGGTTAGGCTATCCATAAGCCTGATTTAATTTAAATAAAAAATAAAAATAAAAAATGCCTTATATAAACACGAAAATAAAAAAGATGCTCTTGATAATTAAAATATAAAAAAGAGTAAATCTTAAAACCAGTACAACAAAAATATACAAAAATCCCAAACCAGGACTATACTCAACCCAAGTATACAAAACATATTATATAGTGTTAACCACATTATACTAAACAGCAACATGGAATAAGAAACTGCTTGATTGTTAGGGATAGGCGAGGCGGAAGCAAATAAAACAGACAATGGCAGGAAGTTAGGCAGGAAGTGAGGCAACAAGTAAAGTAAATATACATTTTTGGCCCTTTTGGGCCTGTGTTTACTTACTAAATAGCTACCAGCTGCCATCGTGCCTCTCTAAAATCGTCTTATTTTGCAGCCTTAATTAAGGTTGGCATTATACAGTTAAAGGATCAATAGAATAAGCTGGCGATATGCCTTAGGGAATGCGCGCGAGTGAAGGCAATGGGCCCATTCCAAATAGTTCTACGTAAATCATTGGCTGTTGCTTTTGTTTCGGCTTTAGAGTTGCCATTGGCTGCTGCTGGTGGTGATCTAGTGGCGACAGTGGATACTGGAATGCAAAGGGGTCTTGTGGAACGTCGGGCGCGCTAATTGAGACACTGAGCAGATCCATTTTGACCTTCGCGCGAAGTTGTTGCTAATGCGGTGCTTAATCTATCGAGGCCTGGGCTGGAAGAGTCTGCTGCTGGTGGTCGCTTCGGCTCGATGAACGACGCGTGGAAGTACGACTTGTTCGACAAGTAGCAGTAATTGTGTAGCGTGGGTTCAGCTCGACGCGTCGAGCCCCAGACATTGGGGTCGTTGCACCGAAAATGACGCCAAAGATAGCCAAAGTAAACATCTGCTGCTCATCGACGGTGCCATTTGCTTCTTCATCACTCGAGGGCTCGTGTGGTGGAGTGATAATCGCTCTTTTGAGGAGTCGATCCTAACTCTCCACTGGCGCCCGGACGACCGACTCACGGAGGGGGTACTCCGATTCCGTGTTCTTGATTGCCTTTCTCACCTTGTGTACCCGTCGGTGGGGCGGGTTGCACTCTTCCAGGTGGAATCGTGTCAATGGAAAACTTGACCGTGTTTGCGATGGGGTCGAGGTTCGACCACGGTGTGGAAATCTTCACACCCCGACCGGGGTTGGTGTGATCACGTGGAATTCGTCACGCGATCACTTGTATGCTTGTGGGGTGCTCGATATGAGTCACCCTGATCTGTAAAAGATCGCCTTGTCCAAATGTAGACCTTGATTCGCGAGCCTTCTGACCACTGGAGCCGTCTCACGATCTTGGGTCCTCAACCACAAAGGGTTTCCTGCGTTCAGTCGAAGTTGGGGTGTTGTTTGAGAGATCTTGATCCCTGGCCAAACAATCGAGGGATATCACTTGATTAAAGTATGTAAAAATCTTCTTGACATCGGATGGCGAATGATCCACCCGGAGGAGAAGTCGACACGTGTACTTTAAAGCAAATTGAACCCTGTTTAATGTTAGCCAATCAAACCCAACAACCCTATACCTATCTTTACGTCTTGTATATCGTTTACCACATGTCGCTCTCTCTAGACGGTAGCGATCATGTACTTGCGTGGCCCACAACTAATATGATTGTCTGATCGCGATCACATACCTGATCACTGATCACGATCTCGATCGCTTCCTGATCGCGATCGCCTTGCTGATCGCGGATCACATGGTGTGCTCCACACCAACTTGATCGCGATCACCTACCTGATCAATGATCGCGATCGCGATAACATACCTGATCAATGATCACGATCTCGGTCGCCTCCTTGATCGCGATCGCCCTGATGATCGCGGTTCCCTTCTTGATCGACTGATCGTCAACGTTACCTTCCGCCTCATACCTTGACCCAAGATCGCAGGTCTCAACCTGCCCGATCTGATATCCATGGTAGTCTGACTGTTCAACGGACGCGACCTGACCAGATGTAGGACCGGGCAGCTAACCGTTAACTGGCTCGGACATAACGGGATTGCAATCAGATCCACTATAGCGAATTTCAATGGTTGCTTAATTTCAGTCGTCCCCTGCGCCGTTAGTCGCCACATAGTGTCGATCTGACTGCGCACTTATCTTTTCGCTTGGTCAGTCCCTCGTGTTAACGTTCGCCATGCTGACGACAAAACCTTTTGGCAACTCTTCTTCTTCCGATTCAGGCGAGTCGTCTATTGGTCTTGGTCAGGTGACGCACGTCCGCGATCCCAATGGGTCGTACGCCGGGTCGAATCCGCATCTTCCCAGTACTAATGTGACGACCTCTGTGTATGTTGATCGACCGACGATGAACGGCATGGTCGCCGCTCTTTACGATCGCTTGGAGAGCTACGAGGAGATCGTGAAGCGCTATGGATCCCTTGAAGATGCCCTGGAAGAAGAGAAGCCCGCGGCGATCGCCTGGAGCAGGAGTTGAACCAGTTGCGTTAACTCGGGATCCAGTTGCGCGGATATGTCAAGCATCGTTTCGATCGTTTGTTCTCCTCTTTTCAGAAGGCTCGCCAGCGCAGCAAAGAATACGAAGGCATCTTAACAAGCAGGAGAATCGGGTGGCGAGGAGCCACGAATTGGAGAACGAGATCGAGCGCTTGGAGAACGAGATCGAGCGCTTGAAGAACTCCCTGTCCAAAGCTGTCTCTTCTGACCCAGACAAGAGTCGGCGTGACCACACTGCGGTTCGTGCGTCTTTCGAGAAGCGGTATCGGAAAGAGATCAGCTCGCTTAACCAAAAGTTGAAATTCCGGGTTTCGCAGCTCGAGTCGATACGGGATCTCCGGGACGACGACGCGAAGAAGTACCAGGCCGCCTCTGCTCGCGATCAGCAGAGGATAGCCGATCTCGAGAAGCAGATCGCGTCATTTTCAACGCTGCGTAGTCAACATGGCGCGGAGATCACGTATCGAAAGCGGGAACTGGATCGACTGCGCAAGGTGATGGCGCATTTCCACTCCGAAAATGCATGTCGTCAACGTAAAATCCAGGACCGGGAACATGCTCGTGATGTCGCGATCGCCGATCGTGATCTCGCTGTAGCGGATTGCTACCAACTTCGGGATCATTTGGCTCAGCTAGCATCTGGTCTTCCGTTTGCTATAGCGTCAGTTCCAGCTTCTTCGGACAGCAAGCGTAACCGGAGCAACAGTAACAGTGGTCTCCCGTCCAAGCGTTATCGGGTTTCCGGAGACTCCTCTCCTCTGACCCCGACCAGGACTTCGACTCGAACTGCTCGCTCGAAGTCTTGTGCTGGGCCTACACAATCATCTCCAGCCGCGCGGTCAGCTGATTCTGTGCAGACGGATGATTCTAAGCCACGGGACAAGATCAAGCAATCGGGCAGTCCTACATTGCGTACTAAGCCAA